CCTTTACGTTGTACGTTAAGTGGGGCGAGTTGGCAGGAGTAATATTAACGGGATTTAACCCTTTTCAAAAGTGGGGCGAGTTGGTAAACCAGTTGGGGCGATTTTTTTAAAAGTGGGGCGAGTTGGTGAAAAAGTGGGGCGATTAGGTGTAGGGCGATTTGCCAGTGGGGCGATTTGTCCTGCTTCCGTCAATCGGTTGACTGCTTATAATGTAAAATACAAATATATCAAAAGTTTTTAAAACTAACAAAACACAATGATCGTTTCTATATTTCCCAATGTAAATGAAATGAAACAAAAAACATTTTATATCACAATAAGAAGAGGAGAGAATCAACATTTTCCGGATCTACTTGGAGCCTAATGACCCCCCACGTAGATAAGTTGGATATCGCGGAAAGAAAGATTAACACGGCAACTAGAAAGGCACTAAAGCACTGCCTTTAAAAACTGATTTGAAGTAATAGATAATAAATTCTTCTAAACAAGCATCGCTTGAAAAAAACTCATCTGGAGAAGACTAATCTTCAAGACATTATGACTCGACAGAAATCTTTGCCACTAAAGTAAGTCCTTTTGTACCTCTACTGGAATCCTTCTAATTATCTTGTGTCCCCTGCCTACAACATATTAAGGGAATGCACTACGAAGCCAGTTTAACAAACGAATAACAAATATTTTACTGGGTCATACACAAGTAGACACGAAATGAAGTTTACAAAGGAATGACTGTAACTCTCTTAAAGAAGCCTTTTTCTTTCTTAACCAAGACTGAACTAACAACGAAATCTCTTTAACAAGGTCTGGAGTAATACTCCAAAGTCAACTTCAATGTATCAACTGTGATACCTAAAAATTCCATCCTAGTAGTAGGAGCTACTCCTTTTTGTTTGGACTCTAATAGTCCTCAACTTTCTAGCAATGCACCTAAAGCATTATAAGCTTCATCAGCTTTATCAACCGTATCGGCCCCACGAAAGTCGTCTAGATAATGGATAACCATATATCCTATCTTATAAAACATAAAACTAACAGCTGTAGTGATTCTTTGACACACAGTGAACAGGAAGAACACGGTCTGCAAAGAGCTTATCATCCCACTGAAAACCAACTAAATGTAAATCACCTGGATCAATAGTAATTTGTCTGTAAGCCCTTTTCAAATCCTTCTTAAAAACAAGACATTTACCACCTTTGTCCTTAATGATTCCAACTAAATCATCAACTTTTAAATACGACAACTGTACTTTTTCACCTAAATAAAAAACCTTTCAGATAAAATCATTCAAGGATCTTCCAGGTGGGAAACTTAGGTCTAAATGACTCTTCGTTCCACCGAGTGTTTTTTATACACTGAATTTAAAGGTGAAATTTTGAAATGACAAGGTAAAAGGATTTTTGTCAAACGGCCCAATTATAGCCCCATATCTAGCTTCCTTTAATAAGTAAGCCACCATTTGATTATGAAAATCTCTAGCCCCCTTATGATTAGTAACCTTGGATGAATAATCATCTAACATTTCTCCCTGAAATCCAATCGGAGCACCAAACTGTAAAAACTCACAAATGATTTTATGGTCATAATCTATCAAATTTTCAGATTTAACTAGAATTCTACAACCCAAATAATTTGGATATCCTGATCGAACAATCTGACTATGTATATCAATAGTATTTTTAAACTCAGTATCATTCAGTTTATCCTGAGCAACTAAATCAACCTTATTAATATTATGACTCACATAGGAATTCTTGTTTGTACTTTTTACAAAAATGTGTACACTTATTGATAAAATTATCTCCCTTGTCAAGATATTCCACTTTATAATTATCAAGTTTATCAACATTTTCCCACGTTTTCATGTAACTTGGTAAAAAAACTTTGAAAAAGCAAACAATAAAACACAGTCTCTTCTTTCTTTATTGGTTTTTTGTTTTCGCCATACTGAGTAGATTTCCTAGACTTGACATCTGATTTTACATATTTTATCAAAACGGGAGTTTCAATCTCACTAAAATCTTTAGACCAATCAGCCAAACCATTTTCAATCTGCCTTATTATATGAGCATACATTTTTTTCAAACCCTCCCACTCATCAATTCTGTGTAATACGCAATTTTCTTCAACAGCTTGATTCTACCAATTCTTTCTACATCGCATATCTTTGATGAAGACAATATTTCTAACTCTCCAGCCACAAACCAATTAAATTCTAAATCATCAAAAGTTTATTTTTGAACCAGCATATTCAAACTGCAATTTAGATTGTGGCCACATTTGCTTTTTAACAACCTCATCTGACGGATGATCAAACATACCAGATATTTTCTTGCTCTTAGATTTGAGTCTCTTATATTTTTTTTTAAAAATCCATCAAATCATCAGAATTAACACTAGATGTAGAATCCTCACTTTCATCGGAAGAATCATCTGAATATATTTCCAAAATTTGTTTAACAGCAGATTCAGCTTTTAGAACATTTTCTTAAACAGTTAATATTAAGTGAATCGTCTATTTTAAACATACTATTACTATCAAAAGTACCTTTTTGTTTCTCTGTTTTCTTCTTTAACTCTGTTTTCTCCTTTACTATCTCCTTTCTGATCTTTTCTTTCTTCTCCTTTGATTTTTGCTCCTTCTTTTTGCGCCTGACTTTCTCCAACTCCTTCTTTAGCCTCTGCAACTCCTCGTCTTCAGATTCCTCGCTACTTTGTCATCGCATTCGCTCTCCGACTCAACTTCCTCCGCCTTCTTTAATCTTCTTGATTAAACGGGAGTCATCTCCTAGTCTAAACTTAACACTTCTTCTGATTTTTTCTGATAAACCTTCACTGTTAAGCTGCTTAGAACTAATTTGTTTAGTCTCCCTCAATTCTCGAGACATACTATAGAGTATTTCATTAAAAGTTCAACTCAATATCAAAATCAAAAAGTCCAACAAAGTTCAATTCAATATCAAAATCAAAAAGTCCAACTAATTTCAACGTAATATAAAATTTAAAAAGTAGAGATAAAACTTTGCAATAGTATAAATAAGAAATTTACAACAAAGGAAATTTACATATCCAATAAAAAGAGTGAAAATAACTATTGAGTAGATTTCAATACAAGAGTATATACTAATATAATTCTAGTTCAAACCAGTATGATCACTGAAGTGTAAACATATATGTTTCACTGCTTTGCTAATCAAATAACTTAAGTCTTGAATTAAACCAATCCATTACATGACAAGAAAACAACGCCACCTATGTCACAATAACAGTCCGTTAGTTTTTTTTGCTTTCCTTAAGTACCACACGAAGATAGTTGGTACAGGATATCCCTGTTTCTCCGAAGTGGTGAATTCCTACCATGACGTCACTAGGTTGGATATATTTGGAATATTTCGTAATACTGATTTTTCCGGATTGTAAAAGAAACGTAAATAGTAAAAGGGAGAGCTCGAGATACGATAATTTCACGAGAAACAGAAGGGAAATGTGTAACAGTGTTTAAAGTTAATTTGTTCATTCGTTTATCTCCTTCTCATCAAATCAGTAAGAAATTTTTGAGGTGTTCCAAACTGTAAAATACACAAGGGGCTGTCAGAGTGACAGCAAACCGGATGTTCCTGCATGAAAATGATATTTGCAAATTTGGACCCCCAAACAGGATCAAGTAAAAAAAATATATATAGCATTTAGAAAATTTGTTTATACAGAACAAGCATTCTGAGAGTATTGAATGGCAATACATAGTCCCCTACCAGTTAAAAATTCATTGTACTTGAACAAAATGCTAACTTGATCTATAACTTGTCATGGTGTAAACTATATAACAAATATCAAGTCAATATCTCCAAGCGTGAAGAAAAAAAGTGAGGAAAACTGATTATTTAAGTGAATTTTCTAAGTCCAAGGACCATAACTCTGCACAAAATCATCAGACAGGAACAAAATTCAAACGTGATCTGTAACTTGTCATGATAAAACTATATACCAGTTATCAAATCAATATCTTCAAGCACGAAGAAAAATAGTGGAAAACTGATTTGTCTAATAATGAACAATAAATAGTTATACTGTCCTACAGAGCTGATCATCAACAACACTTAGGAAACACAAAATTTTCAAATAAATCTGTCACTCCAATTATAATTGTGATTGATAATTACCACATGTTTGTTATCTTAAAAACACTTAGTGTAATCAAACTTTATATATATATATATATATAATTAATAGTTCCCAATATTTTTTCTTTCAATTGTCACAAACTAATATCTGCAACTTATCTGCCTAATCACAAACTAATACATTGTTGACGCCGCCGTCGCCAATGCCAGAAACAGCATACCTGTCTCGCTTTTTGACTCTGTCAAGGCGAGACAATACATCATATACTGTAAATTCAGAAATTTTTGCGATGTTTTTATTATTGCGCAAAATGCGACAGGGTTATAATCGCAATAATTTAAACTCGCATTTTGAAATTTTTTGTATGAATTAAACAGGATTTTTCTCAATATCGCAAAAATTAAAATCGCATTTTAGTCTAAAATGACAAAATCGCAATAATAAATGCAAGCAATAATTTCTGAATTTACAGTAATAAATATCACTTTTCGCTACTGAAAGGTCTGCAACTCAACAATGAGAAAAGCTAAAAATTGTGAAAATTGAACTTGACCTTTATTTAGTCAAAGGAAACAACATATCTCAATTTGAAAAGATTTCGTCAAAGCGTTTTCATGTTAATGAACGGACACTGTTTGGCAGTCGCCTGCCCGCCCAAAAGCCCGCCAACACCCCCCCCCCCCCCCAGCATACATTCCCAAATCAATAACCGATTTTTCCTTCTAAAATCCGGTTAAAAATGGTTGATGTGAGAGGCTTGGAAAGTAGAACGTCTGGCCATCCCTATAGGGAATTGACGGACTGAAGGTGTCTTTTCCCAAAAAGCAAAGAAAGAACTTTCAAAATGGTTGAAATATTTTTATTCAATTTTGAAATCATTTTTTTAAGAAACTGAACCTAAATCGTATCTCAAATTTTAAACATCAAACGAAACAGAATTTTATGTAGAATGTACACAGATAAATATTTTTTTTAATTTACTCGCTCTCGTAAAATTTAACTATGATTAAGGGAACCCTTCACTTCAATTATATAAATTGTATTTAAAAAAAACAAACAAAGTAAGAAAGGTCAATCCAATAGTCAATTTTGAAATCAAGTTTGACAAGATAAAAACAATCCGATTAAAAAATTTAAAACATCAAGCTAAAGTGATTTTTATATAGATTGTATGCTGATAAAATTCATTTTATAAAAAGAATAGCCCTTGAATTAATTGTCAACTCCTGTAGAGATTCGATACAGGATTCCATCAAGTGCACAGGTGAATATGGATGGTGATTAAGGACATGTGATGGCAGATACAGCTAGGTATGTTCAGTTCTTGAAATTACTTTTTAATTTTTTAGTGTTTTTATAATGTTAGCATAATCTTCTTTTTTTCCTCTAAGCACCAATTGACTGAAATCTTTGTCCAAATTCAAAAAGGATTTAATTTCAGATGTTGTACTGCCAGAACCATGACTTAATGTCATTCCAATTTCTGCTGTCTTTAAAAGATGTTTCCTTTTCTTTCCTTTCATTTTTGATTTTTGGAGGAATACTTTAAACACTTTGGCCTTTCCAAGAAATGCAGACATTTGCATTGGTGTTTCCTGTGACATATTTTGAACCTTATACATTTTCTTGTGTGGTACATATAGCAACAATTTTTCTAAAATCAAATACGATTCATCTTCACAGAACAGTGTAAGAAAATGAAAGAACACATTGCCATACATGTCCAAAGGTGTACACAATTTAGCCTGAAAGTCTTCAATCTTACATCTGTGACTAAATAATGCAAGAATAAAATCAAATATATTTTTCTGGTCTTCATTTCCTTTACAAAGGTTGTTTTTACATGCCATAATCAATCCATACAAGATTATAAAATCTGGTGCAGTATATTCCACGTGAGAATAAATCCACAAATCTCTACTTGTTCTTGTTAAATGCTTAATCAATGTTATCATTGTTGAAGGTGAGTAATAACTATTCTCAGTTTTGCTACTATCTTTTTTGCCCAAGGGCATCTGATTAACATTTGCATCAGCTTCTCCTTCAATTACCTCTTTCATAACTTTCTTTTTCGATTTCTCCAAAATTTCATTCTGCTTTTTGACTTCAAATGAAAAATGTTTTTCCAAATTGTGAAATAGAATCATAATAAAATTCTCATCAAGAATTTTTACGAAGTGATGATAAATATAATCACCAATCTTTTCATCCAAATCTGGTTTTTCTATCAATACAGAGGTAAACCTTTCACATAAAATGTTGTATAGCTCTTTCTCTTCCAACTTCAGTACTAATTCACCCACTGAATGCTCATACTTAACACCTCTGATTAATTCTATAATGTCCTCTATTTCGCCTTCTTGAATTAAAGGTTGAATGAAGTGTTGTGATGATAAAAAAACTGCTTTTGATACTATTGGATGAATAAATTTGTAAGTATGATCGTCTGAATTCACCAAATATTTCCAAACAAGACTGTCAGCATGGTCAACTATATCCTCGAGTGGGCTTTCTGTTGATGTATGATAAATTATTGTCATCAACTCCTGAAACTTTTTGACATTAGTGTTACCGGTAGACAAATCTATACAATGTCTTTTATCTGTTGCAATGTAGGCAAGAACACAATATTTATTCATTAAATCTGTTTTCTTGGATTCCACGGATGTTTTATACAAATCTGCAATTTCCCTTCTAAGGAATTTGGGTGGATTGATAAAGTATTTCTCTTCTTTTTGTAAGTAATGTTTCTTTTTCGAACAGAACTTTTTTACCACAAGGGGAAATCCTAAAAAAGGTTCTATTTTGATGATTTTATTGACTAAATCCACATCAAGTTCAGCAGACATTGATTTACTTATTTTTTCAAGAATCTCCCTTTTTTCTTCTAATGTCATAATATTAGCCTTTTTGTCCAAGTCTACCATTGCTTTATCACTGTATATTTTCTTCTTTTGTAAAGCTTCTTTAACAGTAGGCAGATTTTCATGACTACATATAAATATTCCCTTTGCCTTGCTAGTACCTGATATGTCTGGTAACAAACCTAGTCTCTGCTGAAGACTGTTATCTGAATCTTCATGTCTACATGTATCAATTACCTTCGCTTTCCTTTTAACAGACACTTCAAGTCTTCTGTCAAGACTTTTAGGGCTATAATCTAATTCATCTAAAAAAAATATGATTTTTGTTGATTTAAGATCAGCAATTTCTCTCTCATTCATATTTTTAGGAACTTCAAAAGGAAGATAATCTTTTTCTTCAAAAACAGATTCAAGCTGTAAACGCATTTTAGATTTCCCTGTGCCTTTCCTACCAACAATAACTACAAAGCCATTATTCTTTATACACTCCACAGCCTTATCCACAGTAGATGTTTTGACATAAGTTTTATCCTTTCTATGCTGTAACACCTCTTTAAATGTCCTCTCTAAAAAACAAATGTAAATGGTTTGGTTTCAGAGACCTTGTCAAGTCTATAAAACGAAATGTGTTGCTTAACTTTTTTAAAACATAATTTTTGAATGATTGAATGCATTAAACGGCCCTTTTAATCAATAAAATTGGTAATTGTTAATATAATCAAAGCGCAAATGCACTGTTAAGGCAGTAACCTACAGGTTTTGTGATGTTATAGTCTAGATTGATAATAATCAAAAATATTACTTTTCAGGAAAGGCTAACAACATCAGATATTTTGATATGGCATGAAAATGATAATGCTACATTGCATTTCCAAAGTACAAATTATTGCATGAGTAAGTTAATGCTCTAATATCTTTTAAATTGAAATTTTACTGGGTACAGAGCAACTATGGGTTAACTTTTTCTAGGAACAAATTGATTTCTATTTATACCCAACAAAGTGCAACTGAATATTTAGGGTCAATTTTGGTTTTCACCACAAATGGTGAAAACCAAAATCTCGAATTTAAAAAATAGTGTAAATTTATCTCAAAAATATTGAGTTATATGATGCATCTCTTAGTATCCACTCTCCAAGAAAATAGTTATTCTCCAAAAAATTACGCTGGGCAAAAAAAAAAAATCCAAGTATGAAACCAAATAAAAGAACAGGGAGCTTATTCACAAAGCATCCGTTAATATCTCCGTTAAGTTTCCGCTAATTTTAATTCGTATTCACAAAGCCTCCGTTAATTAACGCACCCATTAATGTCTCCGTAAAATGTTCCGTAAAGCTAGATAATTAACGGGTACTTTCACGTATCCGTTAAACGGGCACTTAACTAAGAGCCCGTTATAAATAAAATTCGAACTTTGTAATATTTCTTATAAACAATACGAATACGAATATGAAATTATTTCAATGAAAACTGAAGGACAGTCATAAGAATATGCAAGGTGTACAGAAAACTCAACATTGAGAAGTGGGAAAACCCAAGCATAATCAATTTCAGTCGTTGTGTATCAAGCGTTATCCAATGATAAGCTCAGTGATAAGACTACATGTAACATCGACAATTTGTCCTGAAGGTGTTGTAGCTACAAAGCTCTCTATCAACACTGATATGCATTTTGAGTCCCATTGATCCTTGTAGTACTGATACAGAATGTTTTTGCATAAAAATTTAAACAATGCCATGTGGAGGGAATTTCGCTTAGTTTAGAAAGAGTGGCAAGATTTTTTGCCCTTTCCCACACACCAAGTAAGAGTTTACAAACGTCCAGAAAGAAGCTTAGGATAAGCCTGATCTACTGTTGTAATCTGAGATTATAATTTTGTTTTGAAAGGCTTAAAATATCCCCCAATTTTTTAACTATATAAAAGAATACGCTTAATTGTATGATCAAACACATGTAGGCTGTCTATATTTGGATTCTGTGACAAAAAGTCCTTGCGTAGGTTGTAGTATGCTTTTAATACCTTATCATACAATTCCCTCTGATCGAAGGAATGAGATCTAGATGCACTAAAATGCATTACTTAATAAAACAATGTTGAGCATAATCAATAAATACAGATATTACAGTTTCAGAGATTCCACTGTCAAGTGTGTGATATAAGATGTTGACACAGTATTTTTGATAAATTCAAGGTGAGCAGTACGTAGCCGTCGTCATTACCGTTTCTTGTGACAAATAAGCCATATCTGTTTTGTTTCTTTTTGTTGTCTAATTTTTCTTTTATGTTAGTTTTTTTTTTTTGGCCGGAGGGAAGAAAGTGTGTCATTCGGAAAAATTTTGAAATAAATACTCATATCAAACAAGCTATGCGGGAGAGAACAAAACACACACACGAATATAAAAAATAGACATAAATAGAAACACGCCAGACAGTTTACTGCCATTATTACGAAAAAATCATTCTTGTATTTTGTGCGCTTTTTTTTAAAATAAAATTTACGCATTATTTTTTTTTCAAATCAGAAAATGATAAAGATCAAACATAATTTCTATAGATTATCCAATTATGAACAAAAAATGTGATATGAGGTTGCTGCGTTCTGCATTTGCGCCAATCTGCACTTCATTTGCGCCAATTTTTTTTTCATTTGCGCCAATTTTGGTTTTTCATTTGCGCCAATAATTTTTTTTTTGTTTGCGCCAATTTACAGGTAAACACAAGTCAAGAGACATATAAGTTGTACAAAATTTATTGATAAAATAACAAAAATCCTCGTTCCGCCTGTCATCTACCCCCATGCTCACCACGGGGAGTGGAAGTGGGTTTTTTCAGCAGGATAAGTTTATTGTAAAAGTTCTCAAACTTTATACATCAAACGTAAAATAGCCCTTTTATTATAAAATAGTAACAATTTGACGTAAATAGAACATTTGCATATTTACAAGTGTGTCCTAGCTGAGTATTTGTATACAACACTTCTGATGAACTGCAACCTTGTGATATTTTCTCTACAATACATCCAAATACTTTTCAATAATTAGTCCATTTTTCTTTTCCATGTTTTCTTATGGCTGCTGGAATGTCGAGAGACCTGATTATTACCTGGATTTCTTTATGCCATCCATAAAAATGTAAATATTCGGGTGGTGTGAGTAAAACTGTTCATTGTAGTGCGAGTGAAATGATTTGGGGCCGTTGTTTGTTTTTGTACAGTCTGAAATGTATCAGATCTTACCTGCTGAAATTAAATGGGCGCAAATGAAAAATTAATAATTCAAATGAAAAAAAAAAAAAATTTCAAAATTGACGCAAATGTCATACGCCCGTGCGGTTGATGTTTACTACCCTGCAAACACACGACAAAAACAACAAAAAGACATCTAGACCGCAAAGTCTTTCAACAATGGACAGACACAATGTATGCAATATGTCAAGCTCTAAATCGTCCCATGTCTATAATTTGGATAAATTAAGCAGAAACAATCAAAGATTATTTATTTACTGAAGTATTTTGGTATTGGTAGTTATAGCTCTGTGACAATAAAAAAAACTACGACTTCAGTTATTTGAGCGTTTCTATACGGAGCAAAGAGGTAGTGCCAACTTCCCTTGAATTAAATTCATATACTAGTATATTATCACAGCCTAATTTGTGTATCTTATGGTTATAACAATGTGATTGCTTATTTCTTAACAGATCACACAATTGTAAGTGCCTGAAGATAGCCCAATCCCGCAATTTTAAATATTTATCCCAAAAATGTATACGAAGATCGTCTTTAATCAAAACCACACTTCTGCTGGAGGTAAAGTGAACTACTATATCACTGATACAAAATAATTCATTTTGGTAAGCGACGTCATTCGGTACAAGATTTGACAAAATATTTTAAATTTTCAATTTTGTATCAAATTGCCTTGAGCAGCAACATACAGATCTGAATAGCATTACTATTTTAGTTTATGGAAATATGTAAAAAATATTTTTAATATATGATATAGACTCTTCGACATTTAATATCAGTAGGATTGGACAACTTTTATAAATGTTGACCTTTTGAGTGAAAACAATAACCACGGGTAGTAACGTCGTCATATCGAGGAGCGTTTAGCACAGTGAATTTGTCAAATTGTCTTAGTTTGGTTCAGTTGGTCATGGTTGGGTTATGTTACTTCTCAGAACGATTGCCTCAGTTCTTTTCAAATGAGCAAATAAAAAGCAAATAAGATGTTTGAATCTATATTGTGAGTCAAACATTCTACATTGAAATTGTTGTTTTGGGGAAATTAACGCAGGATGGGCAAAATATTGAAATTGATATGGTCTGGTTAAGCGATCGACATGGTTCAGTTAAGTGTCTAGATATTCGTCATGGTTTTGATCAAATTCGTCATGGTTTAGATCCAAATTAAAACATATTTGTTTCACCTTAATATTGTTAGTTTGTTTAAAGGTGCTTGTAAATCAAAGTGATGGAAATCACTCATGGAAAGATTGGAAGAGTAGTTTGAATAATTTCAAATAATATATATAAGTATAGTGTGGACAAAAAAGAAAATTAATATAGCACTATTGCAGACATTTGCATTTACTACAGGTCTTTAGAAGGAAAAGCAATTGAAACTACGGTCTTTATTGTCTCCAAAAACTAATCTAATAAAATGCTCCGCTGGGGCGCAGCTTGATACGACCGCAGAGGTCAAACCCTGAACAGTTGGGGCAAGTATGGACACAACATTCAAGCTTGATACAGCACTGAATTTGGATTGTAATTAAATATTTGACACAGCATAGGTTTCTGACACAGAATGAAAGTGGTCTAAGAACTTAAAATTTTTTAATTAACCTATTCAAACCATATCATTATTATTTGCTTTTATATATAAATCAGAAATACCCAACTTAAAATGGAGAATTTTAAAGAAAAAAAAAGAAAAAAAAATCCCCCCCAAATTTTTTGAACCCCCTTATGATTCATCACCCCCAAACTCAATCCCAACCTTCCCTTTGTGGTATGGTACCTTGCAGTACAATTTCAGAGAGATACATACACTTGAACACAAGTTATTGTCTGGAAACTAGAAAAATGCTTGTTTTTTGGCCCCAAATTCCTAAAAGTTTAGGGCAATTACGGCCAAACTCAAACCCAGCTTTCCCTTTGTGATATGGAACCTTGTAGTACAATTTCATAAAGATCCATACACTTACACACAAGTTATTGTCCTGAAACTAGAAAAATGCTTGTTTTTTTGCCCCTTTTTTGGCCCCTAATTCCTAAAATTTTGAGGCAATTACCCCCAAAATCAATCCAAACCTTCCCTTTGTGGTATGGTACCTTGCAGTACAATTTCAGAGAGATCCATACACTTGAACACAAGTTATTGTCTGGAAACTAGATAAAATGCTTCGCTGGGGCGCAGCTTGATACGACCGCAGAGGTCGAACCCTGAACAGTTGGGGCAAGTATGGACACAACATTCAAGCTTAATACAGCTCTGAATTTGGATTGTTATTAAATATTTGACACAGCATAGGTTTCTGACACAGAAAGAATGTGGTCTAA